TCAGCCTATATCAATCTGTGACAGCTATCTAATCCCTACAAATCAGCCTGCATATAATCTGTAACACTCCCCCTCAAGCTGGAGCATAGATATTAATCATGCCCAGCTTGTTACATAGATAATCAATCCGGACCCCGTTAAGAGCTTTTGTGAATATATCACCTAATTGTTCTCCAGTCTTCACATAACCTGTAGTGATCAAACCTTGTTGGATCTTTTCACGAACAAAATGACAATCAATCTCAATGTGTTTCGTTCGTTCATGAAAGACTGGATTGGAAGCAATGTGAAGTGCAGCTTGATTATCACACCATAGCTTGGCAGGTACTGAGACCTTAATTCCTACTTCACTAAGGAGCTGATATACCCATATGACTTCACACACAGACTTGGCCATAGCTCTATATTCAGCTTCCGCACTGGATCGTGAGACGACATTCTGTTTCTTACTCTTCCATGAGACCAAATTTCCCCCAACAAAAACACAATATCCTGAAGTAGATCTCCTATCTTCCTTACACCCTGCCCAATCTGAATCTGAAAAACATTCAATCCTAGTATGACCATGATTGCCATATAGGATTCCACGTCCAGGAGCACATTTTAAATAGTGCAAAACTTGTTCGACTGCTTTCCAATGGTCAACAGTTGGTGAGGACATATATTGGCTTAACACACTCACTGAATAAGCAATATCAGGACGTGTCACAGTAAGATAATTCAACTTTCCGATTAGTCTTCTGTACCTCTCAGGATCTGCACACAATTCACCTTCTTTGGTTAATTGTAAATTAGGAACCATTGGGGTACTACATGGTTTAGCACCCAACTTTCCCGACTCCGACAGTAAATCAAGTACATACTTTCTCTGTGATAGAAAGATTCCCTTCTTACTCCTGCTAACTTCAACTCCCAAGAAATACTTTAACATCCCCAAGTCTTTGGTATAGAACTGAGTATGAAGAAAGGACTTTAGAGACGAAATTCCGCTAGAGTCGCTACCTGTGATTACAATATCATCCACATATACAACTAACAGAATAATACCTCCATTAGAGTGTCTATAGAAAATAGAATGATCTGACTTGCTTTTCTGCATCCCAAATTTCTCAATAGCTTGGCTAAATTTTCCAAACCAAGCCCGAGGACTCTGTTTCAAGCCATATAGAGATTTTTGCAGACGACAGACTTTCCCTTTCCCATACCCCCCTTGAGCAACAAAACCAGGTGGTTGCTCCATATATACCTCCTCCTGAAGATCACCATGAAGAAAGGCATTCTTGATGTCTAACTGATGCAGAGGCCAGTCATAAGCTGCAGCAAGGGAGATAAACAACCTGACCGAAGCAAGTTTAGCAACAGGAGAAAAAGTATCATGATAATCCACCCCATAAATTTGAGCATATCCTTTAGCAACAAGTCGAGCTTTCAATCGAGAAATGGAGCCATCAGAATTCATTTTGACAGTAAACACCCATTTACATCCAATGGCTTGTTTACCTGCAGGTAAGGTAACCAAAGTCCATGTACCATTGACATCTAGAGCATTCATTTCCTCAATCATAGCAGTCCGCCATCCGGGATGAGCTAATGCCTCTCGAACAGTCTTAGGTACAGAAACAGTGTCTAGGGATGTAAGAAAAGCACAAGAAGAGGAAGACAAATGATGGTAGGAAACAACTGAAGAGATTGGATAAGTACATGCACGTTTACCTTTTCTGTGAGCAATAGGGAGATCAAGATCATCGTTGGCAGCCGGATCTGATGACAAAGAGACTGGTTCATCAGGACATGATTCTGGAGACTCAAGGACCAAGTCAGAACTGGGCTGATGTGCCCGACGTGAGTAGGTATATTTGATGGGAGGCTTAACCGGTGTAGAAGGAGGCGGACCCAAATTTGGTATGACACTATAGATTAACAAATCATCATCCTCCCCTGGACTCACAGAACTTGAAGAGCCTGAAGATGAAGATAAAGGTGTTTGTTCCAAAAAAGTAACATCAGCAGACACAAGATACTTACCAAGACTAGGACAATAACAACGATACCCTTTTTGCATGCGAGAATAACCCAGAAACATACACTTTAAGGACTTAGGATCAAGTTTTGTAACTTGAGGACGAACATCCCGAACAAAACAAGTACAACCGAATATCTTTGGTTCTATAGGAAACAACTGTTTATTTGGAAATAGAGTGTGGAAAGGAGTATTACCAGACAAAACAGAGGAAGGCATACGATTGATTAGAAAACAAGCAGTAGATAGAGCATCAGCCCAGAAACATTTAGGAACCTTCATTTGAAATAACAAAGCTCGAGCAGTTTCAAGAAGGTGTCTATTCTTTCTCTCGGCAACCCCATTTTGAGAAGGGGTGTCAACACAAGAGGTCTGATGAAGAATACCCTGCTCAAGCATGTATTTCTGAAAACTGCTTGAAACATATTCTTTTGCATTATCACTTCGCAAAATTTGTACAGGTTTACCAAATTGGGTTCGAATTTCAGCACAAAAGGAAGAAAAGTGAAGAAATAGTTCTGAGCGACTTTGCATCAAATAAAGCCATGTCATTCTAGAATAATCATCCACAAAGGTAACAAAATATCTGAAACCAGTTTTAGAGGTAACTGGACAAGGACCCCAAACATCAGAATGTACTAACTCGAAGGGAGCAGTAGCTCGCTTATTGATTCTAGGACTAGAACTAAGACGATGATGTTTAGCAAACTGACAAGACTCACAATCTAAGGAAGTAATGTTTGAAAACTGAGGACAAAGTTTCTTCAACATAGAAAGCGAAGGATGACCCAATCGACAATGTGCTTCAAAAGGAGAGATTGTTCCAGCACAAGCTATAGACCCTGGTTTCGGTGTATCAAGAATGTAGAGACCGTCAGACTCATGTCCCTCACCAATAATCTTCTTCGTCATGAGATCCTGAAATGAACAATAACCAGGAAAAAATGAGACACAACAATTAAGAGCACGAGTAAGTTTGCTGACAGAAATCAGATTAAAAGATAGTTGTGGTAGACTCAGAACAGATGATAAATGGAGAGATGATGTGGGCTGAGTGGTTCCAGACCCAATAACACTGGATGTTGAACCATCGGCTAAAGTAACAGGAGTGATAGATTTATGTGGCTGAAAGTTAGAAAGTAAACTAGGATTACCTGTCATGTGATCAGTAGCACCAGAATCAATGACCCATTTTGGAGAAGAGGAAACAAGACATGCATTGGGTTTACCTGTCTCGACAGGAGCAGTAACATGACCAGATGGCTGTTTCACTGTTTCTTGAAACTGAGTCAATCTAGCATACTTATCCGCAGATATTGTAACATGCTTGTCAGAGGTGGCACAACTAGATGCAATATGGGCAGAGTGAGCCTTCTTATACTGCAGCTTCCGACAGTCTCGCTTGATATGACCTGGTTTATGACAGTAGTGACATACAATCTCTCCTTGCTCCTGTCCATGATTGCTAGTATTCTTATCAGAGTGGTTGGGCCCCGACCCCATGCTCGTACTGTTGCCATTACTCTTGTAGTGTTGTCTTCCTGAATCAGCTGTGGTAGTTCGGCTAAGAAGAACACTGTTAGGCTGAGTAGATAGAACAGGTAACGTATTCTCTGTACGGAGAACCCTTCGAAAAGCATCTTCTAGACTGGAAATTTCTGAACCGGAAAGAATTTGAGATTTAGCAGTCTCAAATTCAGACGGAAGACCGGCTAGAAAACTCATAACCGCCATCTTCGCTCGCTGATTTCGTTGTTCCTCCACATCACAACTGAAGGGAAGCAGCATATTGAGCTCTTCATATGTTTTCTTGAAGTCCATAAAATAACTGGTGAGAGACTTGTCTCCTTTATCTGCCCTGTAAAAATCCTTGCAAACATCATAGATACGAGAGAAATTTCCTTTTCCAGAATATAAGAACTGTAAATAGTTCATTAATTGTTTTACTGTCTTACAATGAGTCACCAGACCAACCACCTCACTATCAATAGAATTACGGATCTGTATATACAAGCGAGCATCCTCTCTCATCCAAGACAATTTAGAGTCATCCGTAGGTGGATCATCAGTCAGATGGCCATCCATAGAAATACTGAGCAGATATAATTCAATAGTATTGTTCCAATCAAGAAAATTAATTCCAGTTAACTTATGTTCCGTGATTTTTGAAACCAGCGGAACTATATCAGAAACAACTCCAGGCTTTTTGTCAGACATAATTGCTAAGAAAATTCAACAAGATAACAGATTACCCACAAGAAAAACCTGTTGTAGCCAAGTCCCACACCTAGATCGATGTTGACCCACAAACAGGTATGCAAATAGCGTCGAGAGACAGAGGAGAGGTGCTGGGTTCTGACCAATCGGTACTACGTACCTCCCTGAGTTGGCGGTGTCTATAAAGGAACCTCTAAAGCCTGTACCTTGAATATGGCAGCAGCTTCCCTCACACCCAACAACCCAGAAAAAAAAAATTTATGAACAAACCTTGCTCTGATACCATGTGAATTTCAGAGGAAGAGAATAAATTCCCCATATTTTTATTCATCAATGGTAAGGGTATATATACAGGTATAGACATCTTATAATATGAAGATATCCTATTACAATAAATCAGTCCTCTAATTCCTATAATTTAGGCTACAAACTAGCCTACATTTGTTAGCTATCTAATCCCTACAAATCAGCCTATATCAATCTGTGACAGCTATCTAATCCCTACAAATCAGCCTGCATATAATCTGTAACAAAAAGAAACTGTGTTTACGTATCAACCTTAGTGGGATAAATTGCATTTGATCAAAAAAGGAGGAGGATTATTAATATAGGCCATACTTCTATCCTCTCAATACATCAGTAGCAAAAGGGATGGTCAAACTCTTGGCACAAAATAACTCATCCAGTTACACAAGATTTTAAACCAAATAAAAATATTATGATAACACCATCCGCGTGAGATATAATGCATCAAGAGCTGACATACATATATAGCAGGTAATGCAAAGATCAGATAGCTACAGTTAGTGCAAAATCTAGTATCCAGGGTCATACGCTTCAAGGCTTTGATCTTGATAAAGCTTCAAGGGTGGCCGATTCTGCTTCCCACATAAATAAACACGTAGTTTTGTTAATCAAATGGCAGAGGCATTCTTGAGTGGTACTGCAAAAATCCACTTCGTATAGTTAAATATTAGTAACAATTACCATATTCTCCAAAAATATATCATAGATTTTTTTCTTTTATCATTGTCACTTCCATTTTAATCTAACTTTTTTCACTTACAGGAACATCATAATTAGCGCCTATCTATGCAATTACCTATATGGCAGACAAGTTTTTTCCATATAATTATCCCTGAAGGCAAAAGTATGGGGCAAAGGATTTTGTACAATTCATAGGTTAGGGCATACTGCACCAGTGTGGCCAAAGAATAAACGAACAATCTTCAATTACAATATAAAACATGCAATAACTACAAATGAACAATTTTCCATTACATTATTATATACACAATATACACACTGTTGTAAAAAAAAATTCCATTCATAGAGATGGTTACATTAAACCGAAAGGTGAAAGAAAAAAGGTTAGAATCAGCACCTTAAAAGTAGTAGAAGGCCATTATTTGCTTTATTATATGCCGATAATTTTAATACCTAATTCCATCATGAAGAGCCAGGTAGCCATCTAATTTAACGCCAAATAAGGACACAAAGAAATGGTTCGCAAGCTAAATAGCAGAAAAGATAATTAACAGAAACTTAATCATTTTCTCATAATTAACAGAAACATAATCAACAAAGACATCTACTAATTATTAGTATACAAGCACATCAATTTGACTAAGATATTTTTTTAAATAAAGTGTAAACAGCTTACTTGTCTAAAGCTGAACTATGCTAAAAGGCCAAAGCTTGGGCTTAGACTGACTGGTACTAAACGAAGCATTACCCCTATAAAATTCAACCCAAAAGTTAACAAAAATAAACAGGAGCAAAAATAAATTGTTCATATGCAAAATGGAAACAAGTAGCAAAAAAGAAGGCTGTAAAATGTTACACAAAGATAATCACCAAGTTTTTAGCCAAAGACATTGTGCTAAGATTTAAACAACCCATGAATCCAAAACTATATGGTCAAAGAAGGAAAAGAGATCTAGGGATTTTTTCTTCTAAATAATAGGTTTTTTGGTAAACATACACCTTTCATAACAGCATTTGTGGCCAAAGTGTTATCTACCAACCAATCTAACAAATTTTGCCACTTTAACCTCCTTTCCCACAATTAGTTGAAAATTATTCAAAACTATAATTAAAAACTTCAAACTAAAGTCATCAAAAGATGAAATAAGTTCAATTCCATTGGAAATTGACAATGGCGGAGACATGAAAAAGAAACAAAGAAAATTGACAATTTAAGTTATTTCGAAAATCCCAAGCAACAACTAAACAAGAGCTGGGAAATTTGAGCATATAACATCTCGAGTGATAACCAATGCAATCTTGATTTTGAGCTCCAAGACTCCAAATGATCAAGTAGTATAGTACAGCATAAACTGAAAAGCATGAAACTTTTGCACTAAAAACCAAAGCCAACAGATGAGATAACTTATTTATGGCTTGGTTCCTAAGCTTAAATGACACCACAAATACAGCAATAATAAAAAATCAACTTTAATGTGCTCAAACTTCAAAGCTTGCGACGTCTGTGCAATCACTCAGTTGAAATTTTAGCTCAAAACACTATACAACGGAAAAGGAATAAGCAAAAGCACAAAAACACATAAAATCCGACATTTTAAAAGCAAAAAAAAAAGAATCCATGGAATTAATGTTTGGAACCTTTTTTACGGCATGCAGTGCAGCTCCATGACCACTGACGCCAGCGCCAATAATGATGAGATCGTAATCAAAGGATTTGGGAGCGCTTCCATTATCATCCGAAGATGCAGAAACCTTCGTCGGACTCGCCTGCGCTTTTCTCGGAAAAATTAGCCTCTTTGCTCGAATAAACTGGCCGCGCTTCAGCTGCGAGGGAACTGAAAACCCAGAGATTTCTAATATTTCACCTGCAAGATCTAAGCAGAAGAAAATAAAAAACATACTACGGGTAGGAAAGCAGATTTCTAATATTTCACCTACAAACTCAAAAGCATACTCAACAAGAAAATAAAAAACAGCAGATCTCTGGGTTTATAAATACTTCTGACTTTCACTGCTTTTGGATGAAGATTTTACTACAGCTTTCTTTGTTTGCTCAAAGAAGGAGATGAAAAAATAGTATTTCAGACCTCTAGGTTATTAATCGAAAGATTAACAAATCTTAGCAAGAAAAATGTCTTTCTTTCTTGAATAAAGGAAACTGTAAAACTTTGGGGAAATATTGGAGCTTACCAATTAAGATGATTTCTGTGTCTCATGCGTTCAGTAGCTTCATATCCAGACCAATTCTAACAAGGGAAAAAAATCAGTTAGAATCATATAATTGAAAAAAAAGGAAAGAGAAGAAAGGAAAAAGGGGGGAGGGGGGAAACGGGAAGGAAAAACAGAGAAAAAAGGACCAAATAAAAACAACAAAAAGGAACAAAGAAAAGAAAAGAAAAGAAAAATGGAAGGGGAGAGGAGAGGAGCTCTGGAGAGCAACGAAGCGGCGGACATGAATGAGGGGAAAGAAAACAAGGGAAGCCCTAAAACAAAATTTTTGGCACGCGAGTCCCACGTGATTGACGACCAAATTCCAGCCAATAAAACCCAGCCACGTCAGCAAAACAACAACCACCCTTAACAATCCCATTCGCGCTTTTACTATATAGGTAGATTAGCATTATTCTTGTTCGGCTGGTTCTAGTTTCGATTTCAGTTTCTATCATTTTCAATTTTAGTATTTTTCTAGGTATAGTTTTCAGATTTTCTAGTACATTTAATTACTTATGATTATAAAATTAATTTTAAGAAAATATAATAATGAATTTAGAGTAACGAGAAACTAAAGAAAATGAATGTAAAAAAAAATAAGGCTTTTATTGTATTATTAGCTTACAAGGAAGAGAAAGATGATAAAAAAAAAATTTATGTAAAACATATCTCATATTTATTGAATGTTTTAAATAAAACAAAAGATACATAATTTTCTATCAAACTTGAAAAAAGAAAAAGAGAAAAACATCTCAATTTTCTCACTAACTTGCGCATTGTTTTTCTTTTGACTCAACATTTTAGAACTAGCTTAATGCTGTTGAACTTTCGGTGAACCTCAACCAAAACCTTTAACCATGGTTCCAACACCGATTTAAAATTTCCAAATTAGTTATAATTTTTTTTTAACAAATTGCTGATTCAATTCCGATTTGATTCCAATTTGAACCTGAACTATGGCCATGGTTATTACTATTACGTAGAGGTGGCAATTTGTCCCAAATCCCAATGAACTACCCATACCCAAAAAGACTTTGGCGGGATGGGTATTGTAATTTGATATTAGGTTTAAAATGGGATGCATCCCAATTATACTCATTATTTGATGGAAAATGTTGGAAAATACTTGGGTACCTATTGAGCCCAAATATCTTCCCAAAAAATTTCATTTTATCCAAAAATTCATCATTATTTTTTTTTTTTTGCAAAAATCTGATTTTTTTTCACTTCCATTTTCTTTCATTTCCTTTCTTCACTTTCCTACAAAAGAAAACCAGTTAAGTAAAAATGATTTCATTTAAACAACTTTAAAAAAATTAAAGATAACAATAAAAATAAAATAAATTGGTAAAATTTTGGTGTCTACAAGATCAATACTTTACTAACAACTGTTGGTACCCTATATGTTAATTTTATGCTAATTGTTGAACTATCTACATAGATTTCTATATGCAACCCTGTTATCAATTTTTAATCAGCTTCTTCGTTTCTGTGCTAGCTTTATTCAGCATTTAATGTGAATTTCTTTTGTATCAAATTTTGAAAATTTTAAGAATGTCAGTAAGAATGAATGTGGTGTTAAAAAACTTGTTTCTAGTCCTTGTGTCAGACAACATTATGGGTAAGGTTGGAATATGGTTGTATATCTATCTTTTCCTTTTTTTGTTAATCCAATTTTTGGTTTAATCCAGGGAGAAGATATGTTCATTCTTACCAAAATATTATGTCTTTTAAAAGTAACTGCTGATCGTTCTAAAGTGTAAATGAATTCAGGAAAATATAAATTCACAATAAGATCAAAAGAAATTTAATAAATAAAAATATTAAAGTTATATAAAAAATAAAAAAGAATTAAAGGAAAAATATAGAAAATAGATTTGGGTATTGGACGGGATCAATCTAAACCTATCCCAAAGTGATCCCGCCCAAGTTAGTCCCAAAATATATATGGGTAAGATTAGACCCAAACCCATATGATTCGGTTCTATTTCGAATTCAAGCAAATCACGTCCATCCCGCCCATTTTGCCACCTCTACTATTACGAACCAAATAGTGAAAAACTTGGGTTTTTTTTTTATGGAAATGAAACAACTTTGGTGCGAAGGAAGCTCAAGGGCTCATGCATCAAAAACAGAAACTGTTTCGTTGAAGCCCTTTTGGATAGTGGATATTGCCGGCTCAGGCCATTGAATTTGAATTGAAGAAGGATTGCATCGTGATATAAATAATTAGATTGTAAACGAATTGAATCGAATACAAAATCTATTCCCAGATTGAATTCTGGATATTAAGTCACACAACAAGTAGGAAAAAATAATAAAGTTAAAATTGCCATGTATTGCCAATTTTTCATGTAAATCCGAACTTTTTTTCAGTTTTCATATAATGTTTTTAAAAATTGAAGCCAAAATCACTATATGTACTCGAATTGTTAATTAGGCATTTTATGACTAATTTGATTTAGCAAGTGCTCTAAGTTTTACTCATCGTTAGCTTAATTTCTTAAGATTATACTCGAATGCCCAAATGCACGTAATTAGAATGGTATCTTATGTACATATTATTAAAATGATGTCTTATGAAATTATTGCAGGTATCATGCAACAAAATTTTATCAAGTCCTAAAAATGATGTGAGTTCTTGGAAAATATTTTAAAAAGAAAAAATGCATGCATTATTATTTTGGTAGTCCACTTATATTAATTGCATGAGCAATTGAAGGCAGTCCAAAATTTTTTCAACAATCTTTACAAGTGCAAAGTGTTCATTGTTCACAATAACAAACAAGGGTGAAACTATAAAAACTATTCTTCCTTGGAAAAATGTGAAATGTGGGCAAAGATATTATGAAAATAACACAAAAGACTCGATGATCATAAAATCAAATGTTCAAAACAACATAGAATAGTTCATGATCTTTGTATACTTTATACATAAATGCATAATTAATGAGTTTTCTATTAAATTCCATAAACTGCATGGAGGATATTATCAGTTTCATATGAGATTAACTTGGGGTCAACTGGTCATGGGTAGACCATGAGATGCCCTAAAACATGACATGGAGAAGAGAATCTGCATATTAAGTGGCTCTTAGAGTCTCTTGCTACTAATACTCTTGTTTATGCCTTGGCTAAAAAGCTTGAGCTGCAGGTTAAATGGCCTTAATTTTAAGTACTCTTGTAACTTAGCTTAATTTTGAATTTGGCCCTGAACAAATAATTCAACTCTTGATTCGAGTTCGAACAAGAAATATGATTTGATTAAAGTATCAAATAAAATTCGAGTTGAATATTCGACTCGTACATATTCAATTGATTAAAGTTCAATGCAACTCAACTAATTTTTTATATTTTTAAGTTTCTTAATATTTTTTATAAAATTATGCATTTCCTATTTTATTATTAAAAAATTAAATAAAATTCCAAGCTCCGAATTGAGCTCGAGCCTAGTGAGTACTAAATTGAATCAAACTCAACCTTAAATTTTAAACTCGTTTAGGATTCGAATTGAGCTTTCGTTTGAGTCCAAAAATTCAAATCAAGTCGAAAAATTAGAATTGGAATCTGAGTCTAACAGCTAAGAAGTTCGAGTAAATTCGTTTGCTGCCCTAGCTTTATGGATTTGAAATCCACGAAATACAAGTTGAAAAGCCAAACAATTAATCAAGAAACCAGAGCATCAAAAACTATTCAAAAGTTTCCTTTCCTTTCTTCCTCAATCTCCATCCCTTGACCAAGACAAAAAAGGTTTTCACTAGTAACGACATACAAGAAAGGTCTATCAATCCTTTAAAGGGCTAAGGGAAAGAGGAAATGAAACCCCAACTCAAGGGAAGAACAACAGGGACAATAATTACAAAAACCTTTACAACTATACAAAATTCCTGTAGAATTGAGGGATTATTTCCTCACCTCAAAATTAGGGAATGCTTTCTCTATAACATGAGTTGGCACTATGTACTGTTATGATTTTTCTTTGTGTATGTCAAATATGGATCCTGAGCAATGGTCAAAACATCTGGCCTCTCTGCCTGATTATATGTAAGACAACGACGAATAAAATCCTGCAAAACATAAAAGGAGTTGCTACTTCAGCATACAGGACAAAGGTGATGAAAGAAAAGTTTAGCGCAGTCTATATACCAGTATTCTTCAGCTTTTTGTCAGCAAATGTCCTTTAACCACATGTTAACATCATTCATCGCAGAAAATCCAAAAACTAAAATAAACATTGTAATAAAGAATCCAAGCTAAACAAGGAAACATCCTAAAGGTATAAATTTTGCACCTTTGCCAAGCAAATAATTTAGAAATCCATCAACAGTATTGTTATCAATTTTCATGAGAATCAGCAATGGCAGTTTTATTTATAAATCATCATCATAGTTTCTTCATTTTTGACATACCTAGCAAGTTTCTCTATTTCGTTTTGTTCCTTCATCAATCATTTCCATATTATGACTTGCAATATGAGTAAAAGGAAGCATGAACATTATGTCTGAGCCAGTCAGCCAGATGTTAATCTGTCTCAGAAACTGCTATAAAACATTGATACAAATGAGATTTTCAAATTTGCAGCACATCTGGCTTGGAGAATTGCCAGAGACGAGTGGGGGGTGGGGGTGGGGGAATAGATTGACATGTTTGTAAATGGACACCCTCGATTGAATTTCATACAGAATACTTCCGCTAACAGAAAGTATAGACATTGACGAGTCAAAACCCATTTACTGAAATAAATTTTGAAGCACTTCAATACCACACAAAAATTGACTCCACTATGTTGGAAACAATAACCATTATGAAACAAACAAGAGGATATCAAGAATAAACTCAGTAGCATCCACATGATTGGCATGCTTATCCATTACAGATAAATTAAAGAGATAATTGTTGAAACTTTTGTCAAATAAGATTTACACAAGTGAAAACACATCAAATTGTAAAGTATAAGAAAGATGATCGATTTCACACCCCACTTTTACTGTTATCAAATTGTGGTAATAAACACTAGCAATTAGTGCTGGTGATGGTGATAGTGGTGGTGGTGGTGGTCATAGTAACAATGATATAGTCTCTCCTACGCAGACTCTCTTAGAGAATTTACCCTACATAAGGATGTCGAAGATTATCACCCCAAGAAACATTAGCAAAGAAGTTTACACACAAATGATTAGTGAACCTGCCTTTGCCTCGTTCGACACAGCTGGCCTTGAAGGAAAATCCACCTTCCG